TACTTTTTTAATAAATTATTTTAAAAGTTTTAACATAAATAACTTAAAATTAGTTAACATTACAATAATAATATTTTATTTAAATATTTATAATTTCTATAAGTAAAAAAATAATTTATAAAGTAAACCACATATTAATTAAAAATAAATATTTAGCACTACAGCTACAGAGATTAATCACAGTTCTTATTAGGGAAAAATACACTTAAAGAAAAAACTATCTAAGAGTTTGAAAGTAAACAGATTTTGATAGTTATCCGTATACATATGTTTTGGAGTTATCACAGTCTTATTATGTTTAAAACAGAAAAAGAAAACTTAAGCGAAAACTTAAGATTTAAAAGGTTTTTCTGTTACACAGTCTGTGGTGCCAGAGCTGGGCATTTTAGATTTGGACTGTGATTTTTGTGACTGATTAAGGGATAAAAGACTGGCCAAACTGTGATTGTAGGTGAGTACTGGCAGAGTGCTGGGTGTAGAGGGTGTTGAAGCAGTGTTGGTGGCCTCTGTATAGGAGGGCAGAGAGTTTAGTAAAGGTTGTGAAACTTCACCAGAGGAGGGGGTAGTTGAACTCTCTGTTGTTGTGGAGTTTTCGGCCGTTGGTTTCTCATTAAATACTTCAAATACTGAGGGATGTACTATAAGACAAGATTTCGGGGTTTTATGCAAAAGTTCTAAGGCAGCTTCATAGGAGGGTAGGCCAGAAACTAAAGTATATTCGGGCACTGGATCTTCCATATCTAAATTTAATTTAACAGCTTCTACATCGTTGTTTTGGGTAACAGTGGTACGATCTGAAATCAGAAAAGAGAGAGAGAGAGAAAAATAAATGATTAGTTTTGTTTGTTTATGTTTTTTGCTTAAAATTTTATCTTTAAATATTTAAACGAAATGCAGTTGTTTTGTTTTTTTGCTATTTGCAGACTTTTGACAGTTGACAGCTGTTTTTGTTTGGGTTTGGGTATTCGTCGTAACTAACTTGATTTGATAATTTATTTGTTGTTTTTTTTTTTAGTCAAGGTGAAATTTAACTGATTAGTTAAACATTTGCTTAGCAAAATAAACAAATACTAAACGGCGACGCTGGCATAGACGCCAGCGTTTTTGAAGTGTGTGTTTAAGGCCTCAGCAGACTAGATTTGTTTTGACAGTTGTTTTACAAATTTTAACGCTTTTTTTTGTTAAGAATTGTTTTACAAATAAACCGGTTAATTAATGATTTTGCGTTTTACATAAAATCTATAGAATTATTGTGTGATCTACCAAACATTAGCTATTTTATTGCAAAATAAAATTCCTTTAAATAGTAAATCTGATAAAATTGTTTTTGTTATTTTATTTTGTAAGACTTTATGACGGCTGTTAGCTTCAAAACAAATTTGTTATTCAAAACAATTTTTTTAAAAAATTAATTTGCGTACTTTATTTGGTTTTTTTTGGTCATATGACGTATGTTTGAGCAAAAAGCAAACGCTAAGGAAACTTTATTCAATATTTCAAAATTGTGCAAAAAAAAAAAAAAAAAAAATTTGCATAAAAATTTTTTTTTGGACAAAAATGACGTTTGTTAAAAAAAGGGTTTACTATATAAATAGAATTCCAAATTGGGTTAAGTACTTTTTAGGTTTAAAGCAAAATATGGTTAACATAAATATAAACAAAAACATAAAAAATTTGTTAACAAAATTAGCATACATAAATGCTAACTATAAATAGTTAAAAAAAAACCAAAAGAAATCTAAGAAATTTAAACAAATAAATAACGAGTAACCATAAAAATTCGGCTAAATTTTAAGAAATTTTCAACTAAAGTTTAACTAGAAACTCAAATTTGAACGTTTTTTAAAAGAAAATCAAAATTTTTTGCAAAATTCCTAAAGGGAGTAACGAGTACTCGTTTAAAATTTTTAAATTATTACAAAAATCTATCTAAATTTTTAAGGCAACTTCAAAATTCTAACAGTTTTTATAAAATTCTCGATAAAATTTTAAGTTTTTGGATAAATTTTAAAAGTGAATACCGGGTACTCGTTTAAAATTACTAAACTATTACAACAGTATGTCTTAATATTTAAGGGAACTTAAAAATTCTTACAGTTTTTATGAAATTTTCGATAAAATTTTGATTTTTTGGCCAAATTTTAAAAGTAAGTACCGGGTACTCGTTTAAAAATATGAAACTATTACAACAATTTGTCTAAATTTTTAAGGCAACTTCAGAATTCTAACAAATTTTATAAAATTCTTGATAAAATTTTAAAATTTTTGGCCAACTTTCTAAAGTGAGTACCGAGTACTCGTTTAAAAATCTTAAACTATTACAATAGTATGTCTTAATATTAAAGGGAACTTTTAAATTCTTCCAAATTTCATAGAATTCTTTATAAAATTTGTTTTTTTTTTTTTTTTTGCCAAATTTAAAAAGTGAGTAACGAGTACTCGTTTAGAAATCTAAAACTATTGCCACAATTTGCCAAAATTTTTAAAGTAACGTCTAAATTCTAACAGTTTTTATAAAATTCTCGATAAAATTTTGAGTTTTTGGCCAAATTTCAAAAGCGAGTACCGAGTACTCGTTGAAAAATTTTAATCCATTGCAAAAATTTTTTGAAATTTTTATGGGAACTTCTAACTTCTAAGAAATTTCATAGAATTCTTTATAAACCGAGTACTCATTGAAAAATTTTAAACTATTGCAAAATTTTTTTGAAATTTTCAAGGGAACTTCTAAACTCTAAGAAATTTCATAGAATTCTTTATAAAAATTTGATTTTTTGGCCAAATTTTAAAAGTGAGTACCGAGTACTCGTTAAAAAATCGAAATATTTTTAAGCAAATGGTCTAAGTTTTCATAGAAAGTTTGAAATTCTTCTAGATTTTATAGAATTCGTTATCAAATTTAGATTTTTGCCAAAATTTCAAAAGTGAGTACCAAGTACTCGTTAAAAAATCTATATTTATTTCAAAATTTGAAGTAAATTTCAGCATAAGCTTTTAAATTCTACGACATTTCATGGAATTTTTTATAAAAATACTGTAAATCTGTAAATTTTAGCAAAAACTTTTTATGACATTGAATGAAATTTTGAATTTTTTATAATAATTGTGAAATGAGTACTCGTTAAAAAAATCTAAAGTTATTTAAACAATTTGTCTAAATTTAAGCGGTTCAGCAAGTTTTCATAAAATTCTTTTAACAAGATTACATAAATGAGTACCGAGTAACCATTATCAAAAGCCGTTATTTATAGACCATTTGTTAATATTTCATGTAAAAGAGTTTTATTTGTTTTTTCTTTGAAAAATTCTTTAAGAAATGTTCAAATTTCACGTCGTTATACAAAACGAGTACCGGTTACTTTTTAGCAAAAGTAGTTTTATATAACAAAATTTACAAATAATTTATAAGAAAGTGTTAGATTTGTACTTTATTTGCCAAAATCTTTAAGAAATTTTGTGAATATACAATAGTTTTGAGAGTTTGCTTAAAAAAACAAAACGAATAACGAGTAACCGTTTTTTTGAAAATTATTAAATTAAGAAATTTTTTATTACTTTTAAAACAAAATCATAAAATTATATGATTTTGAATAAAAATTACTTTAAAAAGTTAAAAATTTTTTAAGTTGCGTTAGCGTTTGCGTTTAAAACGCTTAACGCCTAATTGTGTTTTCATTTAAATGTTATATTAGGTCAGTTATATGAAATGTTTGGGTGATTTGTAGTTTTTTTAATTTGATAATGACTAATTAAAAGAAATTTATTAATAGCTGAGAACATACACACACACATATATGTATAGGAGGAACATAACACACTAAAACAAAAAAGCCGCAAGCGTCAGGCGACTGCTGCTTTTAACAAAAACTTAATATAAAATATTTTTTGAAATCAAAGCCGGTTTAAAACAACAAATTTTGAAACAGTTTTGTTTTTTTTTAGATTTCTTATCATTTTTGCTCTATTTTTTTGCGAATTTTTCTTCTGGAACAATTTCTATTAGAAAAAGGGGTTGCAGCGATATTGCCTTCGATTGCGTTTGTTTATTTGCGATTTTTTTCTATTATTTTCTATAAGTTTATTATCATTTTGTTTTCCTATTGTTTACAGTTTTTTTTTTTGTAAATTGTTATTTTATTATTTCATTATAATATATTGACAATGCGTTTGTGTTTTCACTTCCGTCTCAAAATGGCAATTGGCCAATATTTTGTATTAATTTCTCTTTAACAATTTTATTTTAATTTAAATTAAATTTTACTTTGAGGTGTGAATTTTGAAACGTTTCTGGAATTTTTAATTAAACTAAAGTAGGAAATATGATGTTTTTATTAAGAATTTGTATGGTAAGATCATTAAGGCAATATAGCGATGAGTTGTGAAATCTTGCAGAAAATCCATTCAAAGTTTCTTTCACTTAAACTTGAGTTATAACTTTTAAAAGATTTAAAAGTTTTCTCAAAAAAAAAAAAAAAAAAAATAAAAAACTTTTCTAGACACGATCACCCACCATTAAGATCAGTTTCAATAAGAAAATCTTCCACATAAAACAGAAACAAGTATTTGAACTTAATCTGGTTTTAAGTTTTTCAAAGTGTTGAAATCTTTCTAATTTGTTTTAAAAAAAGTTTCAAAATAAACATTTCTTGACATGATCATTACAGTTATCGATCAGTTTTGATAAAAATATTTTCTAAAATATTTTGATTTTACTTTAAAACCAACAAAATCTAATATTTGAACTAAAAACTTTAAATATGTTTTAAAAAATTTTCCAAAAAATGATTTAGTGACACGATCACTGCATATGAAGATCAGTTTTAATAAGAAATTTTTCTAAAATGTCTAAAACAAATATTTTAACTAAAAATCTTTACAAAATGTTTGCAAAATGTTATTTCAACTAAAACCTTTAAATTTGTTTTAAAGAATTTGCCAAAAAGTGATTCAGTGGCACGATCACTGCATATGAAGATCAGTTTTAATAAGAAATTTTTCTAAAATGTTTCAAAATAACTACCTATTTATCTAAAACAAATATTTTAACTAAAAACCTTTACAAAATGTTTGCAAAATGTTATTTCTTCGCACGATCAGTTTACATTGCGATCAATTTTGATAAGATCGTTTTCAAAAGTTTTCAAAAATAAAGAAAATTAATTAATTTATTTAAATTTTTTTAGTAAAATGTTATGAAATTTTAATTTTTGCCAACTGATAAACATTTCTTGACACGATCATTGAAAACTGCGATCAGTTTTTAGCTCAAAATTTAGTTTTAACTTGAGGTTATGATTAAGGATTCCAAATTTGTTAAGATTTCCAATTTATTTACAAAATTTTCTAAACACGATCACTTTTGATCAGTTTTATTAAGAAATTATTTAAGAAGATCTTTAGAAGGAATCAAGCTTAAGTTTAAATTTACTTAATCTCAAGTTTAAATGTTGTCAATTTGTTAAGATTTTAAGCTTAATTAAACAATTTTCTAAACACGATCACTTTTGATCAGTTTTCATAAGAAATTGTTTAAGAAGCTCTTTCCAAGCAGCCAAAGACAGGGTTTTAACTTAATTTTAAGATTGAATTTTCTAAATTTTTGAATGCTTAAGAACTCAAATGCAAAATTAAAAAAAATTTGACACGATCACTTTTTATAAATCTCTTTAAAAGTCAACAAAAAGAAGTATTTTGTAAATTAAGTGATCTTTCAGTCAGTAAAGCAAAATTTTCTTAACAAGACACATTGATATAAAATGATTATCAGAATGATCATTAGAACAGAATCAAGCATTTTAACTTAATTTTATGATTTAGTTGAGTAAATTTTGTAAACTTTCATACTACAAAGCAAAATTTTCTTAACACGATCACTAGACATATTGATATAGAATGATCATCAGAATGGTGATCACAACAGAATCAAGTATTTTAAGTTAATTTTATGATTTAGCTTAGTAAATATAGTGATCTTTTAGTCAACATAGCAAAATTTTCTTAACACGATCACTAGACACATTGATATAAAATGATCATCAGAATGATCATTAGAACACAATCAAGTATTTTAACTTAATTTTATGATTTAGTTGAGTAAATTTAGTGATATTTTAGTCAACATAGCAAAATTTTCTTAACACGACACTAGATACATTGGTATAGAATGATCATCAAACAGAATCAAGTATTAGTTGAGTAAATTTAGTGATCTTTAATACTACAAAGCAAAATTTTCTTAACACGATCACTAGATCACTGGTATAGAATGATCATTAAAGTTCCTATTGGCAAATTCGTTCAAATCAAGAGCAAGTAATATTTTGACATATTTTTATGATTTAGTTTAAGAAATTTTGACAAATTTTACTTAACACGATCACTTGGACAAGATCACTTTTATTGCCCGCACTTTTTTGCAAAAATTTAAATTTTAATTTACATTTCAACACTTTTGCTTTTCGAAAATACTTACAATTTCTCTTCCATACGCGAAACTGATGATACAGGAAACACGAACAGAAACAAAAGATCATAGAGATCAAGATCAAAGCCAAGACAACACCAATCCATATGCCATTCATAAATTTATCATAATTCAATTGAGTCTGCAGCTCATCCATGGCATTATTCTGTACACTAGAATCCATAATTAAACGTCCTAAATCCAATTCCATATTATGGCTGTTAGCGGATGTAGTGATCGTATGAATGGGAGCTTCAAATGTATCCAAATTATTTGACTTAGGTAAGGCCTGCGATTGTAGCGATTGAAAAAAATCTACTCCTAGTTTTTTAAAAAATTCACTAGTTGTGGTAATATGCGTAGAGGTAAGGGGCTGGGTAGCTGAGCCTTCGAAACTGCTTATACTAGGTGAGGAGGCCAAGGCTATGGTTGTGGTATCGGCTAAATTGGGTGTTCTGCTATTTTCCAAAATGTGCAAAGCGTATTTATCGAAATGCAAGTCTTGTGGTTGTTCGTAATTTAATGAGCGTGTTATGGTTTCCATTATGAGTTTTTATAATAATGTTTCTTTTATTTTTAATTCTTATTCTAATCTTTTGTTGTTGTTGTTGTCACTCGCTGTGCTTAAGAGCGTTCGTTTTTTAAAAAAAGTACTTTCTATCTTTTGTTATTATCTTTTCTTAGTAATAATTTCTTTTTTTTCTTGCTTAAGACTTATTTTTGTTTTACTTTTATTTCTCTCTTTTTTTACTTTTAACGTTTTTTTTTTTCAAAACCCACAGCAGTTAAAGCGTTTCTTAATACAAACACGTCCGCCGTCTACGAATTCTCTAAATAAACTAAAATTTATATATTCAAACTACTAAATTGTTTTAATAACTAACCAAATCCCCTGGAATATAAAACTCATTTTAAATATGTGTACTCACTCACGATCAATTCAAACAACTCATTTTAAATGAGCAGCAAAACTCTCCCAAAAAAAATTGTAATAGATTAAGGTAACTCATAAATACTCTTGTCTGAAACCTTAAACATCTTTTAAAAACAGATTTCTTCTTTGCTACCTGCTTGCTTTTCACGCAAGAAAATTTTTCTCAAAAAAAAAAAATTTTTCAAATTTTCTGCTGATCATTTGACGCTTGGTTACGCTCGGGCACACAACTTCTTTTTTCAATACATTTATACTTTAGTTTCTTATAGTCAAAAAAACACCAAAACTCTCCCTTATTTTTCTTTAACACAAAAAACCTGGGAATTTACAGAGTTCTAAAAAATTGATCATAATGCTTACGCTTGATGAGCCCTTAATTGGCGTTACAAACCTTCTAAAACAACAACGCAATTATACACATAGTTCTCTGCTGCTACCCTTAAGATACATAAGTTAGAGAATCCAAAAAAGTACTTTTCTCTAATAAAAGTCATAATTAAAAAGTAATACAATGACATTTCTTAAAAGTACTTTTTTTAAACAAAATTTAAAAGAATTAACCAAAGTACCCAAAAAGTACTTTTTGAAAAATCCTTAATTATACCCTACACCACTTTAGTGGGTAGGGTATATTGGGTTTGTGCTGATGTTTGTAACGCACAATAATATTGGTCCTATACTCACCTTAAAGTATACCAATCGGTTTAGAATCATTTTCTGAGTCGATTTAGCTATGTCCGTCCGTCTGTCCGTCCATGTAAACCTTGTAATCAAACTACAGGTCGCAATTTTGAAGATAATTCAATGAAATTTGGTACATGAACTTCTATTGTCCCAGGGACGAAGCCTATTGAAAATGGTTAAGATCGGTCCATTATTTCATTTGTTTAACATGTAATCAAACTACTGGTCGCAATTTTGACGATAATTCAATGAAATTTGGCCCATGATCTTCTATGGCACCGAAGACAAAGCCTATTGAAAATGTTTAACATCGGTCCATTATTTCACCTAGCCAACATACAACTGAACCCCTGAATACGGCTTGTAAACCTTGCAATCAAAGGTTTGAAGATAATTCAATGAAATTTGGCACATGATCTTCTATGGTACCTGAGACAATTGAAAATGGTTAACATCGGTCCATTATTTCACCTAGCCCCCAACCCGACGAATAGGGCTTTTAAATTCATAATTATGTTTAATATACTCGTATCTCAACAAAAAGCTGCAAAACCAAGTGCTATACTAGCCTTGAAGACTCTCACGAATTTTATAATTATAGGGTCTCATTTCACCATAGCTCATATACGAAGCCCCCTTCAAAATTTGACTTAAGTATAAGTATATCTGAGGCAAGGTACAATTCAACTACTATGCCTTATTATGAAAACTAAATCACATTTTATTTATGTAACAGGTGTAGGGTATTATATGGTCGGCCTCGCCCGACTATAATTTCTTACTTGTTTCGTTTGTTTTTTAATATTAAAACTTAAATTTCTTTAATTGAAATAAATTTTTAAGAATTTGTAAAAAAAGTACCAAAAAAGTACTTTTCTTAAAAAACGTACTTATTTTTTTTAAATAAGGCTCCTTTAACGTTTTCCAATACTAAATCTAAAATTTCTTGAAAAAATATATAAATTTTTAGATATTTCTAAAAAAGTACCCAAAAAGTACTTTTTTAAAAATTTATCTTTTTTATGAAATTTTCACTTTCACTAAATTTCTTTAAAAAAACTAAAATTTCTTTAAAAAGTACATTATTAAAGAAATTTTCCAAAAAGTACCTAAAAAGTACTAAAAGAATAATGTAAAAAAAACCTTTCAAAAAGTACCGAAAAGGTAATTTTGCAAAATTCAAAATTTTGCTAAAATTTTGAAATTTTTATCAATCAACCCTCAAATTGTTCGAATGAAATTGTTTTTTTTAGGAAAAAGGTACTTTTTAGAAAGAAGAACTATTTTCAACGAAGTTTGATTACTTCGTTAGTTAGTAGTTAGTTAGTTAGTAGTTAGTTAGTTAGTTAGTTAGTAGTTAGTTAGTTAGTTAGTTAGTTAGTTAGTTAGTTAGTTAGTTAGTTAGTTGTTAGTTAGTTAGTTAGTTAGTTAGTTAGTTAGTTAGTTAGTTAGTTAGTTAGTTAGTTAGTTAGTTAGTTAGTTAGTTTAGTTAGTTAGTTAGTTAGTTAGTTAGTTAGTTAGTTAGTTAGTTAGTTAGTTAGTTAGTTCTTAGTTAGTTAGTTAGTTAGTTTATTTGTTAGTTAGTTAGTTAGTTCGTTAGTTAGTTAGTTAGTTAGTTTTCTTTGTTTCGTTCGTTCGTTCGTTCGTTCGTTTTCGTTCGTTCGTTCGTTCGTTCGTTCGTTTCGTTCGTTCGTTCGTTTCGTTATTCGTTCGTTAGTTAGTTAGTTAGTTAGTTAGTAGTTAGTTAGTTAGTTAGTAGTTAGTTAGTTAGTTAGTTAGTTAGTTAGTTAGTTAGTAGTTAGTAGTTAGTAGTTAGTTAGTTAGTTAGTTAGTTCGTTAGTTAGTTAGTTAGTTAGTTCGTTAGTTCGTTAGTTAGTTAGTTAGTTAGTTATAGTTAGTTAGTTAGTTAGTAGTTAGTT